ACTCGGTGCTCCTCGGTGCCAGTGCAATACTTGTAACCGAACCTGTCTTGATCGAAAGTGGCACGAGAGATAGTGTGATCGCGAGAGAGATAGAATAGGTCATACCAGACTTCGGGAAGTGGATCATCAGAAGAGAAATTGAATCTTACAGCTTGTAGTATCGCTGTAATAGTGCTCCCATAAGCTAGTGTAGCGTCCTTGCAACCATGTAAGTCATGCTTCACCTTCACCATGTTCTGTGCTATGATCCAGGCAAAGCAGGCAAGTCGTGGGTCGTCCATAAATGGCATCTGAAGTGTAATGAGCTCAGTCTTCAAAACACATCCCATGTTGGCTCTAGAGAAAATCGTGTGTGCTAAGAGTTTGTGCACAACTCTCACTGCAGGATGAGTAAGAAGGGCTGACTTGGATCTCCCGCTATCATAGACGCCATGACCCATCTCTCTCCATAAGTCAAAATCGGGTTCTTCTTCAAGGTGAATGCCATCAGTGTATGGAAGCTTAAGAGCTTCACAAAGTGTAGAAATGGTGAGTGAGTAGGTCTGTCCGCGGATAGAGAACGACAAGATGCCGTCAGATGCTCTGGGGTTCCTCCTCTTCGTGTGGTGGAGGGTGACAGTTTCTAAGAACTCGCAGACTCGGATAAGTAGGAAGGTTCAGCTCCATGTAGGGTCTCAGCTTAAGTGCATCGATGTACCAGATTACATCTTCTCTAATCCCAAGCATCTCGAGTGTATGATAATCAATGCAGGGCGTCGGTTTGATGTTCAGCTTTTTGAAACGTCTTGCATAGTCCACTCTCGGGTTGGTCTCTTTCCCAATATATCGAATCTGTGGTGGCTCGGGAATTGCTCGTGTTTCTCTTGAGTGCTGAAGCAGCCTCATCACGTAGTTTCTTCTTCTCGGTCTGGCTTGGTTCAGCATGTACTCTCCAAGAGTACTATCATCGGGAATTTTCTCAGAGCTGTCACCAGTGCGACGGCTTCTTCGGGATCTGGTTTGTTCCATTTTTCCTACAAGACGAGATGATTCTTGGAAAAAGAGTGAATATGGATGCTGATTTTAACACATTAGCGATCAGTCACACTAATCATAGTATCAAGAGATTAGTTAAAACCAAAAGCAAACATAATTAACATAGAATCAAAGAAATCGAGTAGTTCATGACCAGATTCGGATTTTTGATGTTCTCAACATAGAAATCTTCTAAAAATTGGTTTAAGTGAGCGATTTCCATGTCAAATGAATAGGTTACCTAATACTAATCACTAATCACACAAGACTAAATCAAATTCATCAATTTTGCTGTTCCAAATTTGATTTTTATAAAGCATGTAGAATCCAAATTTCAAAAATCTCAATTCCTCTTAAGCTAGGTGTTAAAATCGATTTTCAGATAACCTAGAAGGATAATCTATTGTTCTTAAGCTATTTCCACCATTAATAAACCAAGATGTGGGTTTTTTAAGAAAACCCTAAATTCTAAAATCAATTAAAAATGACGAGTTTGATCTTCATACCTTGCTGGAAAGAGAGATTTGATAATAGATTTGAGATCAGCTTTGAAAAAGAGTGAGGTTTGGGCCAAGAATTTCTTGAAAAGCTTAAGAATTGAAAAAGATGTTTTATCTCCTAAATCTCCAAGTCTTTTGGAAGAGAAGAGAAAAAGAAGTTTTGATCCAAAAAGTGCGTTTCCTTTCTTAAAAAGCGTTTTTGTAGCAAAAACGGAAATTTCCGGGAATTTAAAAGCTTACGGGAACTTATCTTTCTTGTCTTGTTCGCAACAGGGGGTTTAAAACTTATAGAAAATCTTAATGGGTTTTTCCGGGAATGTTTCGGGAATCATCGAATCACCGGGAATCACCGGGAATCACCGGAATTCACCAGGAATCACCGGAAACTTTTGAAAAGCAGCGGAAGTCCGAGTTCCCGCCTCAACGAACAATGGCCGCGGTCAGGAGACGCGCGACCGCGGTGATCATAAGCTCGGCCGTGGTCACATCCACGGTGCCGCAGTCGATGATGCTGATAACTAAGAGTTTTCAAGGCTCTAAATGAGGGGTTATCAATTCCTTTTGTCACTTTGCAGTACAAAGGGTATCAATCCATCATGTGTAGACACTAAGATACAGGATCAGTTCTTAATTCAAGCCAAATGAGTGAGGTTTTGATGTTACTTACACTAAACAAGCTTAGAACAAGAATTAAAGCTAATGATCAACTTAAACAAGCAAGTAAATAAGCTAAATGAGATGAGAACGTATGTATGATGATGAGAAAGGTCTTAGACATGATAGTGGATTAGGGCGCCTTTGATGATGAACTAGTGAGCTAATGAATCATGTGATCAAGCAAACCATTCAACTTAAACATCATTAACTAAGCTAATCCTCTCATGAAGGCATTAACTTCTATGTTAAAACAGTTTCTAACCTAATCATCATTAGTGAAACATTAATCAACAAGCATTAAGAACCAGTTTAATCTGTCATTTAAACATATAAACAATCATTCCCATGATGAATAATACTTAAACCTCTAACAACCTTGGTTCAGGCATTTCATCAAACACTTTTGGTGCATGAAATGCCCAAAATCTAGACCACATATGATGTGTATGGATCTAGCATAGAGAACAGGTTGTAGAGAATGGAATATGAATGATCTAACCCCTAAGCTCACTAATCTACCATCTAAGCACCCTAATCTACATATCTAAGACCTTAATATGGGGATTACTCACTAATCATAATCAACACACTAGATCCTTTGCAAGATGTGCTGTTAATCATGATTAGAAGTGTGAAAATGAAGATAAAGATGATAGATTAAGAAGATATCAGCTTTAAACACACAAAAGGTCTTTGATTTCTCTTGATTCAAACTCTCATAAAGGGAATATTTCTCTTCAAAGGAGTCTTTCACAAAAGAGGCAAAGAAAATTGGAGGAATAAAGCTTAACCTAATCATTGATGTCTCAAAACTATTTATACTAAGGGTTTTTTTAATGAGCCAACCCTTAACAAACAGGATATTGGCCCATTAAAGTCTTAAAATTCGGACTGGATCGAAAGAAATATCGACGTGCTGCTGGTCGATAGTTTGGTCGATAGTTTGCAAAGCTTCTCTTAACAAAAATATCGACCAAACACCTGGTCGATGGTTTGGTCGATATTATTTCGGCGTGATTGGCTGAAAATATATCGACATGCTCCACCTCGATATTCTGGTCGATAATATTTCGGCGCTCCAGGTTGGAAATATCGACCAAACTATCGAGGTTCGTTCTGGTCGATAGGAATGCATGCCGCTTGAACCAAAACCTCCATAACGTCTAGATCAGTGGTCCTAACCTCGATCTGTCAACTCCACGAGCCAGATGGCTCCGTCAGCTACAACTTTGATGAAGGGTCCGAGTCCAGCAGGCATCGGCAAGGGCTTCGTTCCACCGGTTTACTGAGGCGCGTCGTTTCGGTCCTTTAGCGGCCGCGAGAAATGTTTTCCTTCCGGTCCCCATAACTTTCAGCACACAGCTCCAAATCAAACAATCTCAGGCGTTCCGGAAACTAGACTCATCCCTCTTGAATCTTGATGAAGGCACCAAAGGCTGGATCGCAATGCCAATGCTCCGTCTAGGGCGATAAACTGAGAGGGAATGTCGGCTTCTATCCACTTGTCCGGTTCTGATGCACTCACCCGAGGGTTTCTCCACGGCTTTTGTCCCAAATGCTCCTTTTTGGCTCCAAATGACCTGTAAACACTCCAAAATGCAAGATTCTATAGGATCTAATGCATTTCCTATCCTAAACCAACTATAAGGACAAAAGTATTGAAAACTACTTAATTGTATGCATGAGACTCAATATTTGGACCAAAAATGCCATCCTAAATGATGCAAATTATGAATATATCAACTCCCCCACACTTGTTCTTTGCTTGCCCTCAAGCAAAAATAACAAATGAGAGAAAGAGGTTGAATGCATTGGGAGCTCATATTTCCTTTGAGAAAAGTGACCACTAAGAGAATTCAAGTTCATGCTCAATATGCAATGCAAGACCATACTCAGATATAACAACACAACAAGAAATCTCCACAAGTTCTCTTATTCCTAAACTCTTTGACATTCATTAAGCTTTTAACCAAGTGGATCAAATGATGCAATGTCTAAACAAGCTGGTTTGGCTAGGGTGAGGTTATGAGACTAAAATGATCTCATCAGCGCCTGAGAGGGTTCAATGCAGCAAGGGATCTCTCTATGAATGACCAAACTTTGGCAGAATGCTAAAGGTAAAAGGCAACCTATGCATACAAGGGCAAGAACTCATCCCACCCCACACTCTACTCAAAGTTTCCTCACTTGCTTACTTTTCACACTCTTTCCTCTCTCACTAGGGGGTTCACTTTTTCTTTCCATGCACAAGTCTTGGAGTTCAAACTTTCATAGCTCTTTTTCACTTTCTTTTGTAACCTCTAGCCTCTTTTTTCTTTCTTTTTAAAATATTTGAGCTCTTTGGCTTCTTTTCTTTTCTTTTCACTTAGAGGCTAGACTCTTTCTTTTCAAAACACTAGAGCTCATTTTCTTTGACTCAAAACTCCAAGACTGATTTCTTTTCTTTTTCTATCCCCTAGTTCTCACCATTCTCCATTTATTTCCACTCATCTCTCCTTTTTCCACTCACCAACAAGTATTCCCCCACACTTAAATCTCGCCAAATCTCTCAGCTCCTTGATGATGGAACTTACTCACAATGAGACTTGCTCTTGTCGCCCTAAACCTAACACTTTCTGCTAAGTTTGGTCCAAGGTGGCCTCTCAATCACACACAAACAATTGGCTTGAAAGAAGGATGGGTTCAGGGTGAGGAAAACTGATCTATTATGCAGATTCAGCTATTTGAGCTAAGGAAGAGGATGGTAAAAACAGGATTCTAGCTCAAATATGTATAATGGTATCCACAAGCTTATTCAAACAATGCACCAAATGATAATTTCAAGTCAAGTTCAGGGTTTTCACTTATTAGAGTTGAGTTCAATTCAAACTTGCTTCTCAGATTTATATCATTTCAAGCCTTGCAAGCATAGAAGTCATTTCACAAGCATATTTAGTCCAAATTCTCAAAGTGATTTACTCTTAAGGAAAACCTATCATTGCTCCATTGCATAATGCAACCTATATGAAAATGCAAACTAGACTCAACCTAAAATGTGAATGCAACTACATGAGCATTTTTTTGTGATTTTTTTTTAGATTTTTCAATTTTTTTTGGTTTTTATATGCACTTAGATGAAACTATATGAATGCATGCAAGAATGAGACTCGAGACTCAAAGTGGAAAATAAGAATCAGAAAAACAAGATTAGTAAAAGATGAAACTCTTCCCCCACACTTAAATAACACAGTCCCTTGTGTTATAAAAGCATGAAGGAGAAGTGCAAAGAAAAATCACAAAATGCAAATAGAAAACAAGCTAACTACATGCATATATACAGAGATGGAGTATTACCTTCTCAAGGACTTAGAGATGGGGCTGGAGACCCCATGGAGTAGGACGGGTTGGAAGACTGGTCTGATGGTGATTCCATTGCTGCTCTCTTGGCCTTGAGCTCATCTTCATCCGAGTCTTGTCCATGCGGCTCATCACAGCTCCTGAGTGGTTCACTTTGGTGAGAGCTTTCACCAACTTCTCCCCTTTGGAACCTCTCCAACTTAGCATTGAGCTTTTTTATCTTTGTACCCATCTTCTTGAATGTCTCAACCAGAGTAGAAACTGTGCCAACCAACTTCTTTATGTTCTTGTCTTGCCAGCGGTTCCATCTTCTCCAGCTCTTTGTGCGGTAATGAGCAGGTGTTGTGGCATCATCAGGCATCTTGCCATCATAAGAAGAGAAATTGTATCTCTTGCTCCCATAGACAGAGTTTTGATCAGCAGTTCCATCATCAGGAGCATCACCTGCTGCTTGAGAATTGGTGGTATTCTTTCTTAGCTGTTGAATTGGTGGGCAAATCTCAGGGTTGTAATGCAACTCCTTGGTGATATAGAACTTGATGTTCTTTCTCTCTGAAAGGGAAATGAGTGATGGGCTTGGCAGTAAGACTTTGACCTATACTTCCCCAAGGGTGAGATTGTAGGCATAAGAATTTCCCACAACTCCTTCAATGAAGTTTGTCTTGGCAAGATGCAACTGATCCATGAGCTTAAAAGGCTTTGGATTACCACTTAGCACAACTCCAGCATGTAACAAGATAGGAGTGATCAGGCCTCCTATGCGCAGTGAGGGGTTCTTGCAGGTGGTGGTGAGAGCCCATTTCCTTAGGTAAAGGAAGTTCTTGATGAGAAGAGATCCCATTGTTGGTCCTCTACTGTCTCCATAGAATGGCCGTCCATTGAAAACTCAGGCATATAGCACCTAATGCCCTCACCAATCAGCATCAACTCTTCATCATAAACATGGCTAAACTCAGCTTTGCCATAGAATGTCTGAGCAATCACCTTGTGTACCATCCTCAGCACTGGATTTTTTATGTCCGCTGCCTTAGCTACACTAGTCTTGTAACTGCCATTACCAATTGAATCCCAGAGTTCTCTCTTTTCATTCATAAGGTAGCACAGCCTTCTTGGAGAACATTTCCCTTCAATCTTGAACCCAAAACACTCACAGACTTCTCTGAAAGTCATCTCATATCTCTCATGTCCAATTTTGAACTCAAGCGATCCAAAATCATCTTCAACCTCAGCGGGTCCATCATTATTATAAAAGTTTACTTGCAAAGATGCAAGAAACTGGCAAGTCAGCTCCTTGTAAGACTCATGAGTCACCTCCATGATGTTCCCAAGACCAATGCTGTCAAGCACAGCTCTCCCCTCTTCATAAATACCCATCTTTCTCAACAGCTCAACATCAGGGTACATTGTTCCTTCATGAGACACAGCTTGAAGTGTCTTGAGGTACTCATTGTAAGTGACCGACTTTGGCTCTGTTTTCTTGATCACCTTTTTCTTCTTTTGAGGCACAGGTGCTGGTGAAGCCACATTGTCCTCTTCATCACTCAGCTCCTCACTAGAGCTTCTCTCAGCTCTCTTTTGCTTCCCTTGAGCCCTTGATGTTGTGGCTATGGCTTTGCCCTTTGCTTTGGCACTTGCTGCAACTGATTTTCCTTTGGGTTCTGAAGCACAAGCTTTCCCAGTTGCCCTCTGTGGCATTCTTGGTGCAGCAACACTTGAGCCTGCTTCCCTTGTTCTTCCCATGGTACCTGATTCATCAAAGAATCTCAAAAAGAGCCATTAGCGCCAATGAGAGGGATTTAATCTCAATTTTTTTGAAAATGATTTTTGCTTGAAAGGAAATCATCAGGATAAATTCAAGTAGCATCATATCAATCCATTCCAAGTTCAAGCATCAAAATCCAGGCTCCACAGAATTTTCTAAAATCCCAACAGTATCTCAAGAACACATCTTTCTCATGACAAGCAAAAATCAGTGTTCAAGCAGCAAATCAGCTCAAGTGAGTTCCTTCTAGCTATCCACAACCTAGATTCCAAGGTTCTAACTCAATTTCAAGCTTCTAATCAGGTTCTACAAAGCTCCATCTAAGAAAAATTTTCAGAGAAATGGCGATGTGCTGAAACAGAACCAAACAAGACTTTTTCATTCAAAATACCTTGGAATCAGTTGAAATAATGCAAGATATGGACTCCAAACTTAAAAATCCAGTAAGAACAGGCGGTTTTAAGTGAGAAAGATGTGAGTTCAAGAGAGAAACAATGGAGGAGAGAAGAAGAAAACTCGTTTTTCCGTGAAAGGAGAGAGAAAGGAGAGAGGAAACAAGATTTTTTTTGTGGTCCAGCCTTTCTTTTTGTCTTGTGGGGGACAGCTGGTTGTGGCTGTACCTTTGACCTTTGACCATGGCACCTTTGGACTGCTGGACACAAGAAAAGTTTGAGGTCCTATCGACACTGTTTATGTCGATATTCTGGTCGATTTTTTTTCGGTGATTCTTCTTGTTTTATCGACCAGAATATCGACCAAACTCATCTCGATACTTTGTTAAAACCTGCCTGCCTTTGATAGATATCAAGGTGCATCATCCAGATAGTTTGGTCGATATTATTTCGGCACACCAAGTTCAAACTATCGACCAAACTATCGAGACTGCATGTGGTCGATAGGATCTCAAACCCTTGTTGATTTTTGACCTTTCTTGCATCCAAATCTCCTTTAAACAGCTCCCAGAACGTGTTAAACCTGCTCACACTTAAGAAAACACATAAAAAAGTCCTAAAAATTCAAATGAAAAACAAGAAAGAAAGTATATACAAGTGATAAGCTTGGGGTGTCTCCCAAGAGCACTTTGTTTAAAGTCTCTAAGTTTGACTTTGATAACCTGTTTAACAGGCTAATGGATCATCAAGAGGAACTGTAGAAGCCTCCTCTCTCTTCTCAGTGACAAGGTAGTGCTTGACCCTTTGACCATTAACCACAAACCCATTGCCATCCTTGCCTTCTAGCACAACAGCTCCATATGGCCTAACTTCAAGAATCTTAAAGGGACCAGACCATCTAGACTTAAGTTTTCCAGGAAATAACTTAAGCCTAGAGTTGAACAGCAACACCAAATCACCTTCCTTGAACTCCCTTTTCAGAATCTTTTGATCATGTAGAGATTTGGTCCTTTCTTTATAGATCTTGGAGCTCTCAAAAGCCTCTAACCTGATCTCTTCAAGTTCATGGAGTTGAATTATTCTTCTCTCTTGGGCTATTTTGATATCAAACTTCAGCAACTTCACAGCCCATAGTGTCTTGTACTCCAGCTCTACAGGAAGGTGGCAACTCTTCCCATATAGCAGATTGAATGAAGATGTCCTAATTGGAGTCTTAAAGGTTGTTCTATAAGCCCACAATGTATCATCAAGCCTTTTGCTCCAATCTTTTATGCTTGAGCTAACAGTCCTCTCAAGAATGGCCTTAATTTGTCTATTAGACACTTCAACCTGACCACTAGTTTGAGGGTGATAAGGAGTAGCTACCTTATGTTTCACTCCATGCTTATTCAGCAATCCCTCCAACGTTTTGTTCACAAAGTGAGAACCTCCATCAGAAATAACAACCCGGGGTACTCCAAATCTTGGAAAGATTATGTTCTTGAACAACCTGACTACTATCTTGGAATCATTGGTAGGGGAAGCAATAGCCTCAACCCATTTGGACACATAGTCCACAGCCACTAATATATATTGATTACCATAAGAGGAGATGAAAGGTCCCATAAAGTCCACTCCCCAACAATCAAAAACTTCAACCTCCAATATTGAATTTTGAGGCATCTCACTCCTCTTTGAAATCTTCCCATGCCTCTGACAAGCATCACATGCTGAAACAACCCTCTGAGCATCCTTGAACATTGTGGGCCACCAAAACCCACTATGAAGAACCTTGGCCACAGTCTTAAATGCTCTCATGTGACTCCCAAAAGCTGATCCATGGCACTCTTGCAACACAGGTTGCATCTCCTCTTCAGCAAGACACCTTCTATACAGCTGATATTTGTTCAGGACATACAGGTAGGGGTCATTCCAATGATATCTTTGGACATCTCTGAAGAACTTCTTTCTGTGGTGGTAAGCATCAAGTTCTGGTGGTTCCACCCCACAAGCAAGAAAGTTCACAATATCAGCAAACCTGGGCATTCTCTTCTCTTGGATGCTATCCACTTCTTCAAACTCCAAATAAGATTTGAGTACCATCAATGATTCCTCAGGGAGAGAGTCATTAAGAGGGACTTCAGAGTCCACTCTTAACCTAGAGAGATGGTCTGCAGCTCCATTCTCTATACCCTTCTTGTCTTGCACCTCCATATCAAACTCTTGAAGTAAGAGGACCCATCTCAAAAGCCTAGGTTTGGCATCTTTCTAGGTCATTAGATACCTGAGGGCTGCATGATCAGTATATACAATGACTTTTGACCCCACCAGGTAGCTCTTGAATTTATCAAAGGCAAAGACTATTGCCAACATTTCTTTCTCTGTGGTAGCATACTTTTCTTGGGCAGAATCAAGGGTTCTGCTGGCATAGTATATGACATGAAGCTTCATGTCCTTCCTCTGACCAAGCACAGCTCCAACTGCATAATCTGAAGCATCAGTCATAACCTCAAAGGGCAATGACCAGTCAGGGGCCCTTCTCAGAGATTTTATGCCCAAATACAATTCCTTCCTGCACCATGAAGTGGGATTTCTCCCAATTCAACACCAGGTTATGCTGCTCACATCTCTCCAGGACCTGCGACAAGTTAGAAAGACAATCGGAGAAGGAGGAGCCATAGACAGAAAAGTCATCCATGAACACCTCCACCTTCTCTTCAATGATGTCAGAGAATATATGCATCATACAACGCTGGAATATGGCAGGGGTGTTACAAAGACCAAAAGGCATGCGCATATATGCAAATGTACCATAAGGACAAGTAAATGTGGTCTTCTCTTGGTCTCTTGGATCTATGGGGATTTGAAAGAATCCAGAGTAACCATCTAGAAAACAAAAGAAAGGATGGTTTGCAAGCCTCTCTAGCATTTGATCAATAAAAGGCAAAGGAAAATGATCTTTCCTAGAGGCTGCATTGAGCTTCCTATAATCTATACACATCCTGTGTCCAGTTATAGTTCTAGTAGCAATCAGTTCATCCTTCTAATTTCTTATTACTGTCATTCCCCCCTTTTTTGGCACCACATGGACTGGTGAAACCCATCTACAGTCTGAGATTGGGTAAATTATTCCAGCCTCTAAGAGTTTGAGAATCTCTTTCTTCACTACCTCTTTTAAGTTGGGATTGAGACGCCTTTGGTGCTTTATGGATGACATAGACTCTTCTTCTAAGTGAATCCTATGAGTGCATAGGGAGGGTGAGATACCCTTTATGTCATCCAGAGAGTAGCCAATGGCTCCCCTATGTTTCCTCAACTCTTCTTACAACCTATGCTCTTGGTCCTCTAACAGCATATCATTAATAATGACAGGATAAGACTCATTGAGACCTAAGAAAGCATACCTGAGCCCCTTGGGAAGAGGTTTGAGTTCCAATTGAGGTGCCTTAGATTCATCCCAATCCTTGTCAAATGCATCTAGTGAGGCTTGTTTTGGCTTTTCTGCTTGTGCTTCACCTTTAGCCTTGTTGCATTGCTTCTGAACACCCTCATTCACCTCTTGAAACCATTTTTCCCCCTTGGCCGCCGTGGTAGCATCGACCATGAAGCATGTCGATAGTTTGATCGATATTTTTGGCTCCTGAAATATCGACATGCTTTTGGTCGATACTTTGGCCGATAGTTTGTCGGCATGTTGATCAGTCTCGGCATCTTGAAATATCGACATGCTTTTGGTCGATAGTTTGGTCGATAATATTTCGGCGTCTTGGTTTAAAATATCGACCAAACTATCTTGATGCAGCACGTCGATAGGGACACATGACCTTGAGTGTTCCAAGCTTTTAAACTGATCCTCTTGAGCTTTAAGACCTTCATAATGCAGGTTCAAGTATGAACTTGTGCTCTCATCTGGCTTATGAGAGTCTAAAAGCTTCTTGAGCTCCAAAGTTTCATCTTTTAGATAGCCATGCTCTCCATGTTCCTTTGTTAAAGCTATCTGAAGATGATCTTCTGTGTTTAACTCTTCCAAAAGCTCATCAGCAAGCTCATCCACTGTCTCAACATATAAGCATTGCCCTTCTATTGTTGGCTTCTTCATCATTGCATTCACATCAAACTTCAGCCTTTCAGAACCAAGTTGAAGCTCTATGATGCCACCTCTCACATCAATAATTGCTCCTGCTGTGGCCAAGAATGGCCTGCCCAAAATAAGAGGATCAACTGGTTCCTCATCCATCTCTAGCACAATAAAATCAGTAGGAACCTCAAAACAACCTATCTTGACAGGCAGATCTTCCAACATCCCAACAGGTAACCTAACTGATCTGTCTGCAAGGACAAGAGAGATCCTAGCAGGTTTGAACACTCTAAATCCAAGCTTCCTTGCTATGGAAAATGGCATTAAGCTGACAGATGCTCCCAGATCACAAAGGCATCCAGAAAACAGAAGGGGTCCTATATCACAAGGGAGTGTGAAGCTCCCTGGATCAGTCAACTTTCTTGGAATGGCCTTTCTCTAAATGATGGCACTGCACTCATGGCTCAATACCACCATACTTTGAAGTTCTTTAGTCATGTTCAGAATAGCATCTTTTAAGAACTTACCCATCTTTGGCATCATTAGAAATGCATCAATGAGAGGCATTGTGAGTGGTGTCTCATTGAGAGCTTTCTCAAATACAGCTCTTGCCTTGTCTACAAGCTGCTTCTTGAATCTCCCTGGAAATGGGAGCTTAGGCTGGTATGGAGGTGGTGGAACATATAGCTTTTCTGGTTCAGATTCCTTTTCCACCTCTTTACCCTTTTCTTTCCTTGATCTTTCAGCAACTTGATCATCTTTTAAGGCTGCCTCCCCCTCAGTTTGATCATTGTCCTCAATGATCACATTGTTGTGCTCAATACCAGGTAGCTCTTTGCCACTTCTCAGTGTAATGGCTTTAGCATATTCCTTGGGATTGGGTTCAGGCTTACCAGGTAGTTGGCATTGGTTCCTTGAGCTAGAGGCCTGATTTTGTTTCAATTCCTTGATGTCCTGCTGCATTGATGCATACTGGCTTGCAAACACTTGTTGACCCTGAAGCAGCTGTTGTAGAATCCCAACCATATCTGACCCC